AGAGGGCGCCCTCTGAGGAGATGCATTCCAATTAGCCGTGAGGGCGCCTTCTGATAAGAAGCATGCTAGTGAGTTGGAGGGCGCCTTCTGGTCAGAAGCACGTCAGTGAGCCGGGAGGGCGCCCTCTGATCAGAAGGACACCAGTGAGCCGGGAAGGTGCCATCATCTAGGAGAGCGCCGCTATCGACTGGAGGAGCGCAAACACTGGACAGAGGGGCGCCGCCATAATCTAGGAGCGCGCCGTTATCGACTGGAGGAGCGCCAACACTGGACAGAGGGTCACCACCATCGTCTAGGAGGGCACCGCTATCACTGAAGGAGCGCCAAGACTGGACAAAGGGGCGTCGCCGTCATCATCTAGGAGCTCGTCGCTGTCGACTGGAGGGGCGCCAACACTGGACAGAGGGGCGCCCCATCATCTAGAAGCGCGCCGCTATCGACTGGAGGAGCGCCAACTCTGGACAGAAGGGCGCCGCCATCATCTAGGAGCGCACCGCTATCGACTGGAGGGGCGCCAACACTGGACAGAGGGGCGCCACCATCGTCTAGGAGAGCGCCGTTATCACCAGAGGAGCGCCAACACTGGACAGAAGGGCGCCACCTTCGTCTAGGAGGGCACCCTATCTCTGCAGGAGTGCCAAGACTGGACAGAGGGTTCGCCGTCATCATCTAGGAGCTCGTCGCTGTCAACTGGAGGGGCGCCAACACTGGACAGAGGGGCGCCCCATCATCTAGGAGCGCGCTGCTATCGACTGGAGGAGCGCTAACTCTGGACAGAGGGGCGCCGCCATCATCTAGAAGCGCGCCGCTACCGACTGCAGGAGCGCCAACTCTGGACAGAGGGGCGCCGCCATCATCTAGGAGCGCATCGCTATCGACTGGAGGGGCGCCAACACTGGACAGAGGGGCGCCACCATCGTCTAGGAGGGCGCCGTTATCACCAGAGGAGCCGGAGCGCCAACACTGGACAGAAGGGCGCCACCATCATCTAGGAGGGCACCGCTATCACTGGAGGAGCACCAAGACTGGACAGAGGGTTCGCCGTCATCATCTAGGAGCTCGTCGCTGTCGACTGGAGGGGCGCCAACACAGGACAGAGGGGCGCCACCATCATCTAGGAGCGCGACACTGTCGACTGGAGGGGCGCCAATACTGGACAGAGGGGCGCCGCCATAATCTAGGAGCGCGCTGCTATCGACTGGAGGAGCGCTAACTCTGGACAGAGGGGCGCCGCCATCATCTACATAAGAGCGCGACACTGTCGACTGGAGGGGCGCCAACACTGGACAGAGGGGCGCCACCCACCATCATCTAGGAGCGCGACGCTATCGATTGGAGGGGCGCCAATACTGGACAAAGGGGCGCCACCGGCCCACCATATCGTCTAGGAGGGCGCCACTATCACCAGAGGAGCGCCAATACTGGACAGAGGGGCTTCGCCATCAACTAGAAGCGCGCCGCTATCGACTGGAGGAGCGCCAACACTGGACAGAGGGGCGCCAGTCACTGAGGGCGCCGGGGACGATGAGCCAAAGGGACAGGGCATGCACGGAATGTCCTGTATGTGCGTACGCCACTGGTGCCACGTGCAAAACGAAGAGGTGTCAGTTTTGTAATTGTTGCAATATCTCGGCAACTACTTGGCCGATTGCGCTGAAAGTTGGCATGTAGGTAGGCACCCACTAGGCACTGCATATCCATGTGCCAGAGTTGGGGTGCTGCTGCACGTGCGCACGTGCAGGGGTCGTTTCCAGATCTCGAGAACGGCTCGACCGATTGCGCTCAAATTTGGTACACATAGGGACCGGTTAGTAGGGTGCCGTGCACAAGTCAGTTGGGACCCATTTTGCACGTGCGCACCTGCAGGATGCCGCTTCCAGATCTCGAGAACGGCTGGACCGATTGTCTCAAATTTGGCACCTCGCTAGAGACCAGCTAGGAGGGTGCAGTGCACAAGTCAGTTGGAAGTACCCCCTCGCAATTTCGCACGTGTAAGGCCCACCCTCTCGCTCGCTCCGTTAGTCGCCCCAAAAGGCGTTATACTGGTACCTATAATTATGCTGTGGATCCCAAAATGGTTTTGAATTGACAAATAGGACCTGGAAGATAGAAATGCTTTTTAGATAAAAATTGGTAGTAAAATAGATCTTTGGTATGCGTAGGGATGTTTTAGGTACTTATCCATCTGAAAAGCATCGCTACTTCACCGGCACCTGTAGAAGACAGATCGCAAATGGCATTCGCCAATTACTCTTATAAGAAGCTGACTGACGTATAGTGTACGGAAATGGGAAAAGTTCACTGATGCACGACAGTCACGGGACGGATGCTATCGAACTGCTGCCTGAGGCGAAGGGCCGGGCGTAAAGGCTGAAACAGACTCTTTCCGCGTTCAGGAAATCGCACGTGAGAGCCTATTCAAATACATTATAATTCTTCTCGCATCAATCGCTTGCGGGAGGTGCGTGCGATTGATGCGAGCGTGCTTCCATGTATTTGAATAGGCTCTCGCATGCGATTTCCTGACTGCGGAAAGAGTCTGTTTCAGGCATAAGGCAAGGCGCGTCCGCTGCCCAGCCCTGCGGCCGTCGCGTCGGGGCGCAGCTGCACGTCAGGCGGTGTGGGGAGGGGCGGGGGGAGCACGGACGGGCCGGCGCGGACTGCCGAGTCGTGTGGACACAGCAATGTGATGGACTTAGAACGACCACGGCAGGTCGGCACCGGGCCGCGCCGGGCACGCGTGCGGGCGGGACGAAACAGACACGCCCCGCCACCGGAGATAAGTGGATGAGGTGTGCTTGGTGGTGGTGGTGGGGGGGGGGGGGGGGCTGTGTGCGTGAGCGTGGCTGTGTTGCATAGATAGCACTTAATTTATTGATGTGTCAAAAGGGCTAGCGTGCCACCCACAACCGAAATAGGTATGTCTGACGGCCGTCGGCATGGTAGGTACACACTACACATCATTTGATAAAACACACACTTCAGAGATAAATTGAGCTTGCATGCAATCAATACCGAAAAGTTACGTCAAACCAATCCTGTTAATCTTAAAGAAATTGATTGCCATTTTCACTTACAGCGTTTTCATTTGATTTTCAGATTGAAGCAGCTACATACCACAATTCATTCCAGTGAAGGTCCCATGGTACACACGAGATGCCCTTTGTTTATTCACTCGCACGGTCGTAAATGGTGCGCTCGTCCTGAAACAGACAGATATCGCGAGCTCGTGACGTTGTTATCCTCTCCGCATGACGAGGCCCGGTTCTTGGTGACTAAAATGTATGCATGCATGTTTTTGGAGGCCGTAACAGGGACAAATTAAACAAACAAAAAGAAGCCAGTATAGGCTGGGAAGAGATTCATTCCCCTCTGTCTTTCTGTCTCTGTGTCTGTCTGTCTGTCTGTCTGCCTGACTGCTTGGGTTTTTTCCCATCTGTCAAATATTTATATGTGACAGGAATGCATAGTTGTCTCTTTCATTCGTTACCTCTCTCTCCCTCCCTCCCTCCCTCTCTCTCTCTCTCTCTCTCTCTCTCTCTCTCTCTCTCTCTCTCTCTCTCTCTCTCTCTCTCTCTCTCTCTCTCCAAATAACACCGCACACATCATTAGAGCTGCAGTGTCTGTGTGGCCATCGGTCAACTGTCGGCTGGTGAACACAAACCCAAAACAGCCGGAAAGCGGTCCAAAACAGACCGGCCACAGGACAAAACAGACGACCGGACACTGACCACTAGCAGCGACCTTGAAACAATAAACACGGGGTGTGGCGGTGTGGAGGGGGACGAAAAGCAGAGGTGGCGAATGTCGGAGCACACGGGTTACAGTGATGCAGTCAGTTAAAAACCAGTGATGCTGGAAGTGAGGAGTTACTTTGATATCATTAGAACCTAAGTAGTGCTTATCTTTGACCTTGTAGCAGTCCGTCGCCAACCTTTAGAATCGGAAGCAGTGGTTGCATTTGATGTATTGACGTGGAGCAGCCGGCTACCAACAGGGCACCGTGGCGGCCGGGCCATGCGGAGGGGGTTCCGGGCGGTAACTCCGTCGCTGCACGCTGTCGGGACCTCTTATACGCCTCAGAGCCCCGGGAGCCTCCAGTCTGACGCGGTGATTATGTCTTTACGCTCCAAGTCACTGGATCCCATCAGCGTCAGACGCGCTCAGAGCCACCAATTCGGGCCACTTGTGCCGCAATGAGAACAGAGACCAGAGAGCGGGAACAAAAACGCCACCAAAAAGTGCGCTTTCATGCAAAGTACAGCGCATCATTAATAATCCTTTTAGCTGCGTCTTTTTTTTGCATTTGAATCATTACTCCACTTAACATTAGGATTTAGGAGGATATTATTCCATCTTGCATTTGCGTGCTTCGGAGCTCTGGCAGCTCAAAATTCGGCAGTAGTACAGTAAAAGTGATGCATACAAAGCCTAGTTGCAACCACAATTTTCTTACCAACCTACATATCAGACAACAAACATTACAATATAGCGTTTCAGATATGATGCCGGTGTAGGGCGCAATCAAAAGATAAGCTTTCACAAGAAACCAATATTTCTATTGGGATATTCTGACGCATTGCTATCATTTCAGTAACTTGGTCCCTATCATCTTTTTAAAGCTGTCTGGGATAGATAGCCATGCTGTCTGGTGCAAAGTCGAGCTTCATAGGTTTGTCGAATAAATCGATGAGAGAGCTATAATTTATCCAGAAATAACTCGGGCCTATTTAGACAGTTGGACAGCTGAGGTCAGATCGTTAGCGAAATCGAAAGTAAACTCAGACTATAGTCATGCAGATTGTGATTTGAGGCCATATATCCACGAAATTAGGCATCAAATTAGCATACAATTAGCTGGCGCACTGAAAAATAGCCCGTAACTTTTGCCGAGCATCCCAATATATGAAACGACCGACTTAACGTTGAATTCCTATTCCCACCATATTTTGACCGGCTATCCATGCCACGATTGTCATATGTCATTATTTTTGTTTCAGAGCTGGCGGCGCCGGCCGGATGGCGTTCAACTGGAGCTCGGAGGTGCCGGGGACGCCGGGTCCTGACCTGCTGCCGCCCGGCTGGCCGGTCGGTGCGGGGTCGGACCGGCTGCCGGGCTGGTCGGCCGACCCGGTCCACCTGGCCAACTGGTCGCTGGCTGCCGCCCGGCTGGGGCCGCCGCCCACCGAGCACCCGGCCACGGAGCTGGAGACGCGGCTCAGCCTCACCTACACGCTCTGCGAGATCCTGGTGGGCATCGTGGCAGCCGTCGGCAACAGCCTGGTGTGCATCGTGTTCGTGACCGACCGGCGGCTGCGCAAGCAGACCAACTACTACATTTTGTCGCTGGCGCTCTCCGATCTCCTGGTCGGGGTGCTGGGAGTACCGGTGGCGGTGCTGGCCAGCGTGGGCCTGCCGCGCGCCCTCGGCGCCTGCCTGGTCAGCATCTCGGTACTACTCATCCTGTGCACCACCAGCATCCTGAACCTGCTGGCCGTGTCGGTGGACCGATTCTGGGCCATCCTCTATCCGATGCAGTACGCGCGCATCATGACGTCACAGCTAGTCACAGGTGAGAGATACATATAGGTTTCGATGGAGACCCTCCTGTTGAGAACCTATAGTTCAAGGATGTGACCAGCGGTGTGCATTCAAGTGACTTTAAAATAGACTTATGATTAAATACTGCAATGTCTAGTATAACAAAGTCGTTTTCTTATTCTCAATGGCAATACTTCGAGGGAAAAAACTGAGCATCCAGACGCCTCAGAGGCAAAAGGATCCGATCGGCACTCCCATCCAGCTCCCAGCCACATGAATTCGTATGCAATATTTGTACATGAGTGGCAGCCTTGACCCCGTGACCCCACTCGTAATGGACCACCATACCGGCACCAATCGACTGTCAGGCCACAACACGCCTTCTCTGACGTCTGACGGCATGGGGATCTATAGCGGAGGTGGGGACGGGACGGCGGCGAGGGCGCCGCGCCGCGCTGGTGGGATAGGGTTCGGGGTCGGGTCGTCATTAGCCGAGTATCGGCAGCAGTCAGCCGGCCCGGCGGCGGCGCAGCCTGCTGACTGTTGTGCCGCCGTGTCGGGGTCGATGGCGTGTCATGACCCCGCCGGCGACCGCTATCGCCACCTTCCACCTTGGCTGTCGCTAATGACCTGGACAGCTGCCGATATAGGCAAAAAAAGTCTACGGCGCGCCTCTCGTCCGGCCGTCTGTAATAACGACCAACACCCCGCCAATAATGACCAACAACCCGCCAATAACGACCAACAACCCGCCGTTGGATCGTGGTCTAGTAATGACTCGGTCTGGGGACACCGCGATACCACACCAACATTTCCCATATCGCCGCCGGAAAATTGTATTGCTATTGATTGGGTACATCCTGAGCACGGACTTCACAGTGGCGATGACCTTTAAGGGAATTCCTAGTGCACTATTCGGGATGAGAATTTGAACTAACGATAACTGAACACGACATTTTCACCATTTCCCGTAGCTTTACAGTCGAGTTCGATTAAAACTGCAGGTCGGTTACATTTAACCCGCACCTGACGTGGTCATTCTTTTCGTTTCAAAGAAGTTTCTAGAATGGTGCAATGTGCATGCATACCTACCTTCCTAATTAGAATAAAATAGAATAAAAGGCTTTGTGATCTCACTGAGAGAGCTTTGAAGTTTGTATCTCCAAACCAATAGACGCTAGGTGCGGGTTGTGTAAGGCGCTTTATCTGAGTGATATCCGTTTTAGAAAGTTTAGCCCAATGCGATTTAGACTCCTTCAATGGGTTGTTCCGGTACATGTCACTATTTTCAATAAATCGGATTATTTATCTTAACAAACATTTTCCATTTTCTCTCCAACGTAATGAATCTCCTGCATATTATGTTACAGGCATTATAATCGGCTGCTGGGTGCTGGGAGCCGTGGTCGGACTGCTCCCAGTCATGGGCTGGAACGCCGGCCCCTACCCGTCCTGTCTCTTCACACGAGTCATGGACTACGACTACCTCGTGTTCCTCTACTTCGCCACCATCGTCTTCCCCGGCCTCGTGATGGCCGTGTTCTACATCCGCATCTACATTGTCGTCGTCAAACAGGTGGGTAAGACGACGGACGGATACCAGAACACCCAGGATAGACAGGACACCGGCCGGGCGCGGCGGCTTGAGAACTGGCAGGGTAGGCAACCCGCACTACATACCGGCTCGGCGGTACAGTCTACGCGCCAGGTTAACTAGAAATCGGGCTGCATGATCGGTGAGGGCTGGCGTTGTCGTCTTTGAAGCCGATTGAATAAAAAGGGATATACATGTATTTGCTTATAGGTCTCCTTATATCAACTCAAATATAAATGCTTCTTGAACGTACTGCTTCAACACTTATAAATCTCTTTAGACGGTTTTATTTTTCGATGCGCCACCAGGCGTCAATGCTGTTATGTGCTGATGTCTGAACTCTGATGTAAACAAAAATGAGTATTTTGCGACAATGCTTCCCAAGGAGAATTTTCGGAAATTCTCTTCAGAAATCTTCGCTACCCTTACCTTGCGATGTTAAATCAAACCTGAAATCACTTCCTCTTACCAACCGCAAATCCGCCATCATTCCGTCTGATTGTGTCCGAAGCACGTGTTTTCCGTTCCGTCTCGGGCGGGCGGTGCCGGCAGCGTGTCGGCCCGCTAAAATTATGGCTGTTTGGCCACGCCGTCACCGCCGCCGAGACGGGCGGTGGTAATGCCCCTATCTACCGCCACCGAGACCGCGTTATAATCGATGAATATATTAGCGAGGCGGTCTATCGACGTAGCAGGGGTGGTGTGTCGGTGACTCGGCCACGGACAGTCGGTGGCCGTGGCCGCTGTCTGCTCTCTGTGCGGGCGCGGTGGGGTCAGTCAGTCCCGCCGGGAGTTGCTGCCAACCCGCCGAGATTGCCGCCCGCCCGAGAAGCCGGCCAGAGCCGCGCTGTTATCGCGGTCTCTAATGAATACCCCGGAGAGCGTCCCGTGCACACACGGGGGACATGGGCGGCACGCTGATTATCTGCCGTCTCCGGCCTTCTCGTGGAGAACCGACGGACAAACAGGCGGACAAACAGACGGAGAAAACTGCGCATCACACTTGTTGACAGCCCAGGACCTGCACTGTAGGCAGCATTAGCTGTGACATTGAAACGTATTGCAGGTGATACTATCTATTGGATTTTCACAGCCCCAGTTCTTATTTCATTTCTTTCTCACCAACGATGTGGCTGCTCTTTGACCACATGCCTAGGCATCCACCTCACATGAAAACATGAGCTCTAGGAACTTGTCAAGCTGAACTTTCCATCAAAGCCAGCTTGTATAAAAGCCTCACATTTCTTACGAAGAGCCAGCCCACACATATCCGTTTACCATGACTGAAGAGGTATTGCGCAGCGGAGACCGGGCACTCCCGGCACCAGTCCTGGGACCACACATAATTGGCCATCGTCGTCCGGGCGCACAGTGTCGCCGCCGTTTGTGCGCCGGGAGAAAAACAACCGGCTGCCGCCGTCACTGCGCACTGGCGCGGGGCGGCACCGGAAAATAGCCGCCAGTGACGGCCGACCAGGCCCCTCCCGGGACGAGCGCTGACGGCTGACGTCATAAGGGGGCAGCATACAGGTCACACCGGATGTGGGTCCTTCAGCGGCCGTGTCTATTTTTTTGCGAGTAATCTTGGCAAGAATAAAAATGTGTTAGTAGCATTTCATACTGGCGAGACATGGTATGCAAGTTATAAGGGTAATAAGAATTAATGCTATACGTGGTGAACTGGTTATGTTGCCTGTCAAATTCCAAACACGTAGCATAATTGTACTCTGTCGCCTCACGTAAGCCATCGCCCACCTTGTGCGCTGCGCCTGAGTGCCAGCCGTGAATTTTGAACCAAATACCTATAATTTTGCCGAGCATATTTTTTATTATAAATTTGCCGAGCAGGTTGCGTGAGGAGCGCACAAAGGGACGTGTTGGACTCAATGGACTAAAATGACTATGTTGGGGAGCGATCAGGTGATAGGTAATGAGTCCCGACACTGGAACAGCAATGATGCAGCTCATAGACGCACCAATAATGCGTATTCAGATTTATAGCAAGCTCCGCGCTGCAATTGCAGTAGGTAATTATTTCTCTAGCGTCTCAAACACGGAAGGACGGGCAAAGGTGGGCTGGCATAAAATATTTGCCTATGCATTTTCTGATGCGACATTCGCAAGGGGCGCGGGAACTACTTTCAGACTGGGGGGGGGGGGGCACTATAATACAGATCAACCTAGGGTCCTACCCCAAATCAAGTTTTCTCATCGGTTTTAGGACACTTATTTTTCATCCCTTGGCTTTTTCAACAAAAAAAGAAAACATTTGCAAAAAAAAGTACGGTATTACGTCTCAAAGTTGTGGGGGCACCGCCCCCACGGCCCCTGAGGTGGGGGGGGGGGGGCAAGCTGCCCCCACTGCCCCCCGGTTACCGCGCTTATGACATTCGCACTTTCATTGCAAAATTGCCCCCCGGTTACCGCGCTTATGACATTCGCACTTTCATTGCAAAATTGATGCAACTCCATTACCAAAAAGAAAAGAAAGGAAAGGCGCAGCCAGTGGGTACCTGCTGGCGAATTATATACCTAACTGTATTGTCGTATAGCATTTCAATTATTTTGACAATAATAAAAACCTCTAGCTTAACTCTCTAGCTCACGTATGCATCCTGAATTCACTGTCGCATAAATACCGATCCGATGCGCCACCTGCTGCTGCACTTAATAAAGCATTGGTGAGCACACCTTTTCGCTTGGACAGCCACCATCAAATGACCTGTGATGCGTCCGTGCCTTCAGGTACGCAGCATGTCGTTTTTCTCCCACCTACCGGAGAGCGCCCGGGAGAGCAGCTGCTACCGTAACTGCGCCGGCGGCCAGGTGGCTCGCAAGGAGGTCAAGGCAGCCAAAAACCTCTCCATCATCGTGCTGTTCTTCATGGTCTGCTGGTTCCCGCTCTACACCATCAACTGCATCAACGTAAGTAATCACAGGCTCGTGTGTGGGTAGAAAGTAAGGTGTAAATGCGCGATAACCCGTGGTAAGCAGTAACGTAGCCCGATTCGCAGATTGTCGGAAATTCGGTTCTTTTTGTTTTTACCATGCTTTATAGCTTTAAGCCCTGGTGTTTGCTGAGCTACTAAGCGTGAGCTTCCCCAAACGTTCAAAAACTTACTTCACACCTCCTCCGAAAAATAAGGACTATATATATAAAGCGTCAGAGAGGTAGCCGTTTCTAACGCGTCTTACTTTTGTACATATGTGCATAGGTAGATGAGTGCTGATTGACTGTGTTTGCCTGCCGCAGGCGTTCTGTCCGGACTGTAACATCCCGCTGCAGCTGACCAACTTCACCATCATCCTGTCGCACGCCAACTCGGCCCTGAACCCGCTGCTGTACGCCTACAACCTCAAGGACTTCCGCCGGGCCATGTACAGTTTAGTGTGCGTCCGCCTGCTGGGCTGCACCGCCGCCGAGCCGGCCGACTGGCTGCGCGCCAAAATTGTCGCCGAACAGGAGGCGCTCCGTCTGCACCGGCAGAGGGCGGGCCGCACGCGCACTCAGTCAGCACCGCTGCCGCGGCCTGTTGAGCTGCTGCAGCCACCGCCAACCGGATACGACCGACAGCTGCCGCTCAACCCTGCCCTGCTGACGGCGAGACCGGCCGGCCGGCCGCCGACACTAGCGACATCTGAACATACAGACCGGCGTGTGGCAGCGCCACCTTTGGGCCGAGAGGCAGCGCTGCTGTCGGCGCCGGTCGTACCGCGGCGGAGGGCACGGTCCGCCGGGGAGGTGGCGAGACCGGCTCGTTCCTACCGCTGGCCGCTCGACCAAGGCTCCATGCGGCAGCGACCGCGCAGCCGCCTGCGCTTCAAGAGCTCTGACAGCTAACGGGTGCGCTGTATGTAGCGGTGGTGGCTCGCTAGACCTGGCTGGCCCAGGACAGTGATCTGTGAACTGTTCGGTAGAACCGGCCATGGCCATTGGCCAGCGGCCTGTGAGCTGACTTACGTGTTTCAATGCTCCAGATGGGCCAATAGCGATGTGGGGACAGCAATATCATGAGCTGAGCTCGGAGTGACATGATCAATAGCAAATCCAAGCGCACAAATGTGAGAATCAGAGATCTGGTTGACCCTCGTGCCGGCACATCAGATGTGAGGTCGCTTTTTTTGTGAGTCTTTGATTATATCTCAGGCATAAACATCGATATAAATGCATCCCTAGTCAATGCAGTATTGCCATTATACGACACACGATATACGATAGTGATACCTGCTGTCAGGCAAGAGAACGAGACATATTCGCTTCAAACAAAGTTGAAGTGTGTTGTTTGATTTCATTCCACTTTGTTCAGGTTCTCTAAGTATTCCGTTTACAGGTAGGTAGGTGATAGCAAGCATGGCGTAGAAATAATGATTAGAGCTGACATTAGGCACATAGCAGTGGCCAGTGAGATTTGTAACTGACATGGTGTCAATATTTGTGTTTTTAGTGTTGCATGTCGTCGTATCGAGCTTCCGAGCGTATGGCTCTCCTTGACTGGACAATAAATGCCTCTTGTCGTATGTAAGGGTAATGGAGGTCCGAGGTAATCATACCAAGTATGTACATTGGTTTGCAAGACAGCCGCATCAAAATGACATTAATTCGCCCTTTTCTTTTGCATCTTAACGACACAACTAAACCAGTAAAACGCCTTTCGGGGCGACCAACGGAGCGAGCGAGAGGGTGGGCCTTGCACGTGCGAAATTGCGAGGGGGTACCTCCAAGTAACTTGTACACTGCACCATACTAACCGGTCTCTAGCGATGTGCCAAATTTGAGCGCAATCGGCCGGCGGCCCAGCCATTCTCGAGATCTGGAAGCGGCACCCTGCACATGCGCACGTGCAAAATGGGTCCCAACTGACCCTTAAACGGCACCCTACTAACCGGTCCCTAACCATGTACCGAATTTCAGCGCAATCGCTTCAGCCGTTCTCGAGACCTGGAATCGACCCCTGCACGTGCGCACGTGCAGCAGCACCCCAACAGTGGTACATCGGTATGCATTGCCTAGTGGGTGCCTACTGCCTACCCCACATGCCAACTTTCAGCGCAATCGGCCCAGTACATAGTTACCGAGATATTGCAATTGTTACAAAACTGACACCTCTTCGTTTTGCACGTGGCACGTCACGTGCATAAGGGGTCGCCCACATGCATCGGGAATAGTCCAATACTTGGACGGTAGAAGGAATGAAGCTACCGCACAAAAATTACCGCATGCAAATCGGTCAAGTGGCTGCGGAGATACAAGCTTCTCAAAAGCCTGACCACTGCTCATTCTCAGAAATTTCCGTTAACCTACGAATTAGACTACGCTCTCTTCGCTCGCTCCGTAATCAGAAAATTACGATCGATCGGCAAACCGCATTTGCTCGAGTGCGTTGGCTTCTTGGAAATTGTTCACATTCGACCTGAAACTCGGCGAGCAACACTTCGTTCGGCAGCCGCTAAAAATGTATTATATTACAGTGAACGCATCGACACTCAGAGGTGCGTATACACTGAGCAGAGGTGAATAAAACTCAAAAGCTGTCACCTATACGCGATGTCTAGCTGTCACCAACTTTTTACAAGTCATCTTGAAACAGTAGGTACCATATTGTTTGCCGTTTTCTCATCACCTTCGTAGGCCTAAAAAATGAAAATGAGGCTAGAATGTTAGAAAGAAACTGACAATTCAAATTTCGTCCTCTGGGCATTACAACGCATCACCACATTTTGCAGAGCAACAAAAAATTTAATCACTATCACTGCATGAACTTATGTAGGTATCCTAGGTCTGATCGACTTCCTAGCTCGTCCTGGCTTTCTGATCCACTTCAATCAAAACTCACGAAAGGGTCGTCAGTTGTCAGTGATTCACTTGCCTTTGCCTCAGTAGTCAGAACCAATTATCTACGCTCCCACCAAGTTTTTGGGACCGATGGTCATAGATTTCGCCCCAGTTGTGGTGTGGCTCAGATGTAGCCTCCCCCCGTCCCAGTCGCCCGGTCCCTCCCTACTCCGACGGCGGCCAAGGCCGCGCCGGTCCCCGCCACCGCTCAACCGGCGACGAGGGGGGACGAGCTGTCGCGCTGTCGCCGTTTTTCCTGCGCTGTCTATGGCGTTTCACAACGCACCGGTGCAATAGCCGCGGCTGTTGCACCGGCGGGATTTTCAGCCCCAGCTGTCTACAAAGAGATGACGCTGTTAAATCTTTGTGCCGTGATCCATAGGCCCTATGGGAAGACAGCTCTGATTTTAGCGGAAACGGCCTAGTTATCCTTGTAGAGTTCGGAGTGTTCGACGTAGGTATCAAAATTTCATTTTACAGAGCACCGAATTTATTGTCTTGTGAAAGTTTAACTCATACAAAACAAGCATGAATTAAAGTATATAACATAAGACAATCTTGCTTGAATTTACTTGAATTGTGCCCGTCTAAAAACAATATCAAAACTAGAACACATAGCCGGAAACTACATCTTTTGAAATAACATTTTTCCTTTCAAATTATTTAACAGACGGAGCACGAGAAATTTAGGTCGTAAAAAGGCGCAACCTGATTCCGTGCTGAAACTAATGCAGCACCGCCTCTTTACCCCCTCCCCCGTTTCAGCACGTGCTCGCGCCGTCTTCTGGTAAGAGGAGCACAAGCTTGCTGATCGGCCTTCTAAGAATGGAGGTGCTCGTCCTCACTTCTGCGACACGAACATTGCCCTTTGCGTCAGGATACACGTTGATCACTCTTCCCATTTTCCATTCGTTGCGAGACGAGTCTGCGTCTACCAGGAGAACCATGTCATTTTCACGCAAATTTCTCTGAGGCTGGATCCACTTTTGTCGTACTTGAAGTGAACTGACGTATTCCTTCTTCCAACGGCGCCAGAATTCCGTCGCAAGGTACTGAACTAGTTTCCATCGCTTTCTTGAAAACGAGTCGGCTTCTGAGAAGATACCGGGTGGCAATGGCTGTGCCGAACGGTAGATGAGCAGATGGTTAGGTGTGAGCGCTTCCAAGTCCCTTGGGTCATCTGAGACAGGTGTGAGCGGGCGTCCGTTCAAAATCGCCTCTACCTCACACATGAAGGTGGATAAGCACTCATCCTCTAAAGTCTTTTGCTGCAGCAGAAAGTTCAATATTTTCCTCGTTTCGCGAATCAGGCGTTCCCATGTTCCTCCGTGGTGCGAGGCGCCCGGTGCGTTAAAAATCCATTTTACCTCTTTCTGCAGAAGTTCGTCTTCTATTTGCTGCTGATTCCAGTTGCGGATCTCTTCCTTCAGCTCCCGGCGGGCTCCCACGAAATTTGTGCCGTTGTCACATCTGATTATCCTTACTGCCCCTCGTCTGGCCATGAAACGACGCAACGCGTTTATGAAGGAATGAGTCGTCAAGGAGTGTACAACTTCCAGATGTACAGCGCGGATTTTTTGGCACACAAATATGACACCAAACCGTTTCACTGTGGCTCTACCTCTTTTGACATAAAAAGGTCCGAATAAGTCGACTCCAGTGACCGCGAATGGCGTCAAGTCCGGGGTGACGCGGTCTTGCGGGAGATCAGCCATTTTCTGTGTTAAAGGACGGCCGTGTAGTCTGCGACAGAATACGCAACGTGACAGCACGCGGCGCACCGCAGCCATTCCGCGAATAATCCAGAACCGTTCCCTAATCACTGACAAGACATGGAGACGTCCACTGTGGCCGATCTTGCGATGTGTGTCTGAGATAATCAAATCAGTCACATGAGACCTTGCTGGCAGAATCGCTGGGTGTGATGCTTCTGAGGCGTAAGCATGACTTAGTCGACCACCGACCCGTAGCACACCGCTCTCACAGACTGGATCTAGCCGGTAGATGTTACTCTTCTTGGTTATTTTCTTGTGCTCTGGAGAATGAAGAACGGCCAACTCTTCTGAAAAGGATCCTGCTTGAACGTACTTGACAATGCACATTTCAGCACTTTGAAGTTCTTCGACAGACAAGTCACTCGCTATGCCTCCATTGGTGACGTTTCTGCTCTCTGGCTTCTCTTCCTTCTTGATACGATCACGCAAGACTTGTTTCAATCGCATATAGTAAGCTACAGCTCTTTTAAGGCGGTACCAGTTGGAATAATGTTGCAGTAGCTTGTCAGTTGGCTGTGTTTCGGTGGACGTCGCTGACACCAGTTTTGGCATTTTTACTTCAGGGTCACCATCCATCACTGTTTCAAGTTCTTTGAATGGCTGCTCTGGCCACTTATCTTCAGGAAGCGTCAGGAACTCTGGCCCACGAACCCACATCGACTCATTCAAAAACCTTTCCACCGTTGTGCTTCGTGAGGCTTCATCAGCAGGATTCACCTTTGAAGTAACGTATTTCCACTGGTTCTCGTCGCTGTGTTCAAGAATGTAGCCAATGCGATTTGCTACATAAATATGAAATCTACTTGTTTTGTTCTTGATATAACGAAGAACAGTTGTACTATCGGTCCAGAAAACTGTCGAGTCGACAACTGTTTGGAGTTCTTCTTTCACAACTAAGTCAAGGCGCACTGCTAAAGTCGCAGCAGTGAGCTCCATTCGAGGAATGGTGACACTTTTCAGCGGCGCCACGCGCGCCTTTCCAATGAGAAAAGAGCAGTGGATTTTCCCGTTATCATCCACTTGTCGGAGGTATGATACCGCGCCGTAACCAGCTTGGCTAGCATCTGCGAAGTGATGTATTTGTGTGGATAAGACACGACCAAAATCTCCTGGTTTCATGCACCGCTCTACACTGAAGAGTTCCAGCTGGCAAAGGGAGGAGTGCCACCGAAGCCATTTTTGTTGCAGAGGCATGGGAATAATGTCATCCCAGCCAAGATTCAATGTACATAGTTCTTGAAGGATCAATTTTGGCACCATCAAAACGGGAGCAGCGATTCCCAATGGGTCAAAAAATGAGCTTGTTGCCGAAAGAATCCCACGTCTTGTGAGTGGTTTTGACTGGATTTTCACCTTGAATCTGAACCTATCTTGCTGAAAGTCCCATAGAACGCCGAGTGCACGCTCCGCCGTTGTGTCACACCCCAGCTCGGCTCCTTTCATATTCTCCGTTTTGTCATGGTCTGGTAACGATTCTGTCACTTCTCGATGATTGCTAACGAACTTGGTGAGATTAAATCCCCCCATGGCGCACATTTGCTTGAGTTCGCGGACCAGTGTCACTGCCTTATTTATGCTTTCCACCGACTTCAGACAGTCATCAATATAAAAAGAATATTGTATAGTCTTCGCCGCATCCGGACTGAACGTGTGATTGTCTTGTGCACATTTTTGTAGTGCGAAGTTGGCACAACCCGGAGACGATACACTGCCAAAAATGTGTTTTTTCATGACAAAGTCCTCCAATTCCCTTGTTGTATCACCCTCTGGCCACCATAGGAATCTGTAGAAATTGACGTCGGTTGATGGTACTTGTACCTGATAAAACATTTCTTGAATATCCGCCATAAATGCGACCCGTTCCTTCCTGAACCTGATGAGAACACCGATCAAAGTATTTGACAAATTTGGACCCTGTAGAAGCTGATCATTCAAGGATGTTCCGCCGTACCTTGCCGAACCGTCAAAAACCACTCTTGTTTTCTCGGGCTTAGCCGGGTGCTGAACCGAATGATGGGGAATATACCACATTTTGCCTTCTTCTGGAGGATATGCCATTGACGCTGGCTCGGCGTGACCCTTTTCTAATAGCCCGTTCATGTATTGAGTGTAACGAATGTGGAGGGCTGGGTCTCTTTCCAGTCTCTTTTTGAGACCTATGGCTCGTCTCTCTGCTAGGGCTCTGTTATTTGGAAGCCGAACGCTTTCAGCCTTAAACGGAAGGGCTATTTCATAACTACCGTTCTTCAATTGCACACTCCCTTCTACCTTGGCCTTCCAAAGTTTATCTTCTTGTGACATGTTTTCATACCCCGTCATCGTAGCAGTCTTATCTGTGAAATCATTGTTGAATATTGTGATCATCATTTCTTGTAACTTTTCTGTTTCCAATCGTACTGTGTTCACTTTAACGTCTGCTGCATTGTAACTGACTTCGGACATTACCTTGGGGCCAACCACCGTCCAGCCCAAGCAAGTTTTCAAGGCGTAAGGGCCACCGTTTTGGCTGTGGATTACCTCCCATGGCTCCATTGCTTTCGGGCAGTCGCATCCTATTAATATTCCAATTTTATCCGCCTTTACTTCTGGGATTTCAATTTCTAGATAAGACCACTGTTTCTTCAAACTTGTTCTTGCTACATCTTGGTCTCCAACTGGAATGGTTGGTATCGTATATACTGGTGGTAACGGAAGAGAGTTGTTACCGTTGACATCAGCTACATGTAACCCCGTTACCAGTCGACTTTTAACCGGGCTAGCTGTATGTTCTACTGTGGTAATAGTGAGCAGCGTCTCTTCTCCAGTTTGACCCAACTGACTTCGTAACTCTTCCGTTATGAATGTACTTTGACTGCCGTTATCCAAAAATGCATATGTCTTGACAGGGGCTTTGCCTGAGACGCTTAATTGTACCGGCAAGACTGGTAGAACTGTGCCTGAAGTGACTGCCTTGGTCCCACCACATAATTTGTTTTGTGGAGTACTTGAATTTGGATCGGTACTGACACTGTCATGGTGAGGCGGAAGGGAAGGTCTGGTGACGGGTTTGAATTCCACGTGCAGTAGAGATGGATGCCTTTTGTCACAATGACGACATTGCATTCGCCTTCTACAATGTTTCGATACATGATTTGGACGAAGACAAGCAAAACAAAGTCGTTTCTCCTTTATTTTCTCGATCCTTGCAGATATATCCATCTGAAGTAGAACAGGACATGATTCAATTGTATGACATTCGTCACATGCGTAGCATCGCACGTCTGAATTTGTGGTTGCAGTGTAAAATGTTGATTTGAACGATTTTCCGTGGCTTGATTTTGCATCCATCATTTCTTTCACTCCAAACACTGGGTCGCTGCATATACACACTTGCCGCTCCACAAATTCAACTATATCTCCAAAATCTGACTTCATATTTTGTTGCGAACTTTCAAACACTAGCTGACGCCATTTTTCTTGCAACTGATATGGTAACTTGCCAACGATTTTCTGAAGATTCCTAGGATGATTTACCTCGCTGAGAGCGCCCAGAGATTCCATTGCATTTTTACAGCTTCGAATTAGAATTGAAAAATCTTCCAAACAGTCAACATCCAATGATTTCATCTGCGGCCAAGAGAGAATTTTATCAACATAAGCAGAAGAAATGCGATGCTCGTCGCCATACTTGCGATCCAGTGCCGCCCTGGCATCCTTGTAGCCTCTGTCTGGCTGTAAGTGCATATATCCTTTCACGATTTCATGTGGTTTTCCTGTTACGCTTTGAAGCAAGAAATAAAGTCTTTCGACGTCGTTCTCAGTTTGGGTTTCGATACGGCTTATAAATGAACGGATAAACATAGGGTATTCCATGGGATCACCCTTAAATTTCGTTATTTCGGTCTTCGGTAGGGAACTTCTTCGTTGTTGTCGTAACATAGTTTCTGCCATGTCGTACATTTGCGCACCGCACGTCTTGCTGTGACCAACATCAGAGTGAACAAATTGTGAAGATGTGCCAGGAACCTGAATTTGATGTAAATGAGTTGTTTCATCAGTATTTTCCATTATATCACTCGCAGCGAAATATTTTTCACGGGCATGAATGGCTGCTAATTCTTCTTCAATGTTTAATTGCTCTTGTCGTAATTTTAGACGTAACTCTTCCTCGAGTAGACGCCGTTTTTCTTCAAGAATGCTCGATCGTGCTTCTAGCTCCGCCCTTTTCGCCGTGTCGACGGCTCGCTGATTTTTAATGAAACTTGATGACGAAGACGTTGAAATTTGTGACGCACTATCTTCAGGTTCAATGTCCATTTGTGAAGTCTTGTGTGATGAGATGAGTCTTTTAATGAGGTCGTCTTTCGTTCCTGTTGTTTTTAGTCCCCTTTCTTGCAATAAAATTTTCAACACCTTCTTGGTCTTCGTGTTGTATGCTTCCATCTTCAATTCTCTTATGAAATTTAAGTTACTTTATCTTAAAATCGTCTTATACGACCATATAACTACTAATCTACATTACTTTACTTGTATTGTTTTTAGACTTATGTAGAGTTCGGAGTGTTCGACGTAGGTATCAAAATTTCATTTTACAGAGCACCGAATTTATTGTCTTGTGAAAGTTTAACTCATACAAAACAAGCATGAATTAAAGTATATAACATAAGACAATCTTGCTTGAATTTACTTGAATTGTGCCCGTCTAAAAACAATATCAAAACTAGAACACATAGCCGGAAACTACATCTTTTGAAATAACATTTTTCCTTTCAAATTATTTAACAGACGGAGCACGAGAAATTTAGGTCGTAAAAAGGCGCAACCTGATTCCGTGCTGAAACTAATGCAGCACCGCCTCTTTAATCCTATTTTAAATGCATCAACTGAGATGCTCGAATCTGTCCCTTTATTCCTATGTCACCTACGCACGCAGGCGAGTAGCAAGTTTTTTTCACCTGACACTGATTTACTTAAACCGTAACAACACCGCTGACGTAGTCATCCTGCGCTAGACTGTCTGAAGAAATTACGCAGAGACGGCTGGCGCCATCACCTTTCTACATGTTGGTAGGTACATAGGGCCTAAGAGAGCTGAGGCTTCAGAACGATCTCGCCCTGGATGTGGCCGTATATCCCCTCACAGCAATCGTACTGCCGTTCTTTGTAGGCGAGCGATGTCGACTCGACCGCCCAGCGTCCGTTGTTGATCATCTCGTCGGTGTTGATGGTCTTGCTCTTCAGCACCAGCTCCATCTCCTCGACGTTGTGCGTCCAGGAGCCCAGTTTGAAGGGACAGGTGACGCGGTCCTGTGTGTCGGTCCGCCGGCGCTGGCAGCGCACCGTGAAGCTGACCGGCGGCACGAACACCACTTTGCCGGTCTGGTGGACGATCGCCGGCATCGACAAGAACCAGTTGGACGTCACAGGCACCCGGTCGTAGACGGCCAGGTCCGGTCTCCAGATGTTGACCGCAAATACGCGCGTACTTGTCACATTGCCACCGCTCCAACCCAATCGATTGTCGAGCCACTCATGGTGCAGCCAGGCACCCAGCGTCGCCGTGTTGTCAGCCTCGTGGAAATCCACGTCAACCAGAGTAAGTTCGATGCTGACGCTAATCTGCTCCGATGGGTTGGACACCGGTCTCACCATCAGGTGCCGCATAGGGCTGGTCAGAGAGGGGATGTAGAGCTCCTCATTTGCCCCAGTATCGCTGCTGGCGAGACCGGCCAACGCCACCAGTAGTAGGGAGATGGTCATGCGAGACATATCAGCTCAGATCGCCACGTCAGGCCTCTGTGGACTCAGTCAATCCTCCCAAATGCTGTTCGGTGGTCCTCCTCCAGTCCTCTGTCAGCTCCGACTCCGGATGGCGGCACAGCAGTCAACCAGAGACAGCCCTCGTTCAGCGGCTCTTGACGAACTGCAGGTCAGTTTGTCTTACACACGACTTATATTTGCCTTCAAGATGCAAACACATGTACTTCAAAATCGCTGTGACTTTTCACTGGCCTGGGGTTGTGTAAGCTTTGCGCCAAGGACAGCTCAGTCTTAAATAAACATGGTCACTAGGCCCATTCGGTATTTCAGTCGATATGTTCAACCCGCGCCCTGGTGGGCTCTGTTTATAGGTAACGCGGCCTGGTGTGTGTGTGGGGGGGGGGGGGAGGGACATTTTTTGCCACCCCCTCGTATCTCCGAAACTTCTGGACGGATCCGCAACATTCAAACGAGATTCGAAAGCCCTGTCAAATCTGTTAACAGGAATCCAATTCTATTTAACTCGGGGTCACCGATGACGTCACAGGTCAGGTCAAAGATAAAGTGTTTTGCCGTTCACGAGTCTTCTAGGGAATGCGCCATAACATAGCGCCATTTTTGGAATTTTGGCTTTTATATTTTTTTTTTTGGTGTTCAAAATAAAAATACCTAATAAAAATTTCGAGGAGCAGTTAGTAGCCCTGGTAATTCTACACCTTTTTTTATCTTAAACGTTTTTCTGTATCTTCAAAGCTATAGCCCTGACAGCTCTTCCCGCGAAACCTTTTTTCGGGTCGAAAATGGCAGAACATGACGTCACTCTGACGTCATTTACGGCCAAACTATCATAGTCTTTGGAAAAATGTTTGGTCGCAATGTGTACAATTGATACCCGGGAGGGCACTGAAAGTTTAGTGACGATCGGCGCAGCGGTTCTGGAGATATATCGAAAAGTCTGGGGGGGGGGGGGACAAAAATAGCCCCCATCCGCCTTTTCCAAACAAAGTATGAGTCATTCGACGCGGCTTGAAAAGACGAATTCGTTGGTACGGTACCACTGCAATAGCTCTAGGACCATTTTTGTTGAAATTATTTGCAAAGAAATAAAACCCCAGCTTGGGGTCTTTGGCCTGATTTCTGACCTCGTGTCACCAAAACTATTTTTTATTTTGTCCCTAGATCAAATGCTACCTAACCGTGCTCATAATTTGTCTTTATCTCTATATAAAACTATTTTTGGCAGCTATTTGAACTTCACGACTGTGATGCCGAGGTTTACCTGCAAGAGTCTAGAAAAATCGACCCCATGTGATGTCATCAAGAGGGCTAGGCCCAATTCTTTTTACTTCACAAGATGCCATAGGTATTAAAGGTAGTGTGCCACCTTTGAAAGATTTCCCATCTTATTTTTCCTAGGATAAGAAGCTTCTGTTTTTACCTAATATCGCAAAAAAAAATCAAAAATGGGCCTGGAATAGTGCCTTTTTTGCCTAAAAGTTTTTCGGTTTTTAGATATGTATAACAACTGTAGTGGGCTCACCTGCAAACAGGCGTCGGGCAACAATCGCGAATGCGGCGCACTTGTGACAATAAGCAAAGGTCATTATAGTGTAACGACCATACGACGTACGGGAATGAGTTATCAGCTGTCTAATCGTAGACAACACAATGTCGAGCCTTAAACTGTAAGCCCGTATTGGTATTGTTTCTTTTATTTGGCTGTCGAACACTATTTATGGTTTGAAATATGATTTTATGTAAAATAATTGATATGAAAAAGCCGTCTTATAAGTTATGACCCCATTTCACCACACGCAAGTGGCAGAAATGGCAATGATCAGCTGACGCATTTTTCTTGGCCAAAGTCAGAGCGCGCGGCCCGACGCACCACGCGTATTTGGAAATTCCGACCTCGACGAGCATCAGAAGCTGTAGCGGAATAGAGTGTCTGTCGCTACGATTTAAGTTCGTTCGCGTGCTCGCTGTTAAATGTCCTTCGGGCCGCTGAATATTTGTATTCTTTTCACGCACGAGATGCACAACCGTCACCGAATAGAGGAAGACGCCGAGAGCGAGCACCGAGTTGGGCGATCATATAAAACATTCCTGAAATACAAGAGAAAGCTGGTTTGCGAGATAAAAACACTTCTTCGATTTACATATGAAATAAATTAATATACAACAATAAATGGTGACACTATGAATTTGTAAATGAATTAGAAAGTATATAAGCGGCCGTGGGAACATACGCATAGTTACAGGTCGCGACATCTACCGCGAGTAAATGCAAACGCCGACTCAGCGGCAGTCTAGTGTGGCGCTGTGACCGTGACGGATGGTGAGCAGAGGACTGGAGCGGACAGAAGCTGACTTGTCTAATTCTGTCCAGGTTACATCCTAACCATATCCCAGAAACCTCCCACCACCCGACGCGCGTTTATAGGGCTACCGATGCAACCGGTGACAGCCCGACCACATCATCAGCATCAGCATCAGCATCAGGTGAAGCGCCCGTAAGCAGTCGAGGGGGCGTAGGTGCAGCGCCCACAATGGCTCCCTCCCTAGACACGTCACCTGGCGTCAGCGAACGTGACGTGGCGGTACCGATGCGGCGGCCGGACCGCACGGCCGGACGCAGTTCGTAAAATGGGGATCGGGTCGGCAGCAGGGGTCGGCACGGCGCCACGGTGCTGGGCCAGCCGACGGGGCGCTGGCGATACGGCCACGGGTGGCGCTGGAGTAGCGTCATTTGGCTGCGGCGGTCCGTCAGCTGGAGGTCCGGTTTCGGGGCTGATCGGTCCTCTTGGCGGTGCGACGAAGAGCTCCGGCGCTGAGTGTCGGGCCGCGGCCGCTGTGCGCTGCGGGCGGGCGGCGGTAGGCGGGGGCGGGGCCGGCGCGGCGTAGTCCAGGTGGGCCGGCTTCACCCGATCGAGCGACACCACGTCCGGTCGGCCGCCGCGGTCCACAGTCACCGTCTTTGGCGAGCGCGCTAGGATCCGGTAGGGGCCGTCGTACGGCGGGGCGAGCGGCGGTTTGACCGCGTCGTGCCGGACGAAGACGTGCGTGGCGTCGGTTAGGGCCCTCGGCACGTACGGTCTCGCCGATGTTGAACGGGGCGCCGTTGGCCGCAGTGCTGCCATGGTGTGCTGCAGGCTGGCTGCGAAGGAGGCCGGCGTGGGCGGCGCCGCGGTCGGCGGTGCGATCAGCTCGCCCGGCAGGCGTAGCGGCGTGCCGTACACGAGCTCCGCTGTGCTGCAGCCGATGTCCTGCTTGAGTGTCGAGCGGATGCCGAGCAGGACGACCGGGAGGGCCTCCGTCCAGCGGGCGGGAGCGGCGGCGCGCAGCGCGGCCTTGATCTGCCGATGTAGGCGTTCCACCATGCCGTTGCTCTGTGGGTGGTACGCCGTGGTCCGGCGCCGGGAGCAGCCGAGCAGGGCGGACAGCTCAGCCCAGAGCGCCGACTCAAACTGGCTGCCGCGGTCAGTGGTGATTTCTGCCGGAACACCGAACCGAGCGATCCAACCAGAGATGAGCGCACGGGCTACCTCCCGAGCCGTGATGCCGCGGAGAGGGATAGCCTCCGGCCACCGGCTGTATCTGTCCACCACCGTCAGGAGGTAGGCGTAGCCCTCGGACGGCGGCAGGGGTCCGACCAGGTCGGCGTGCACGTGACGAAACCTGTCGGCAGGGGGAGGGAAGGGGGCGGGCGGAGCCGAGGTGTGCCGGTGGATCTTGTTTCGCTGGCACGGGACGCAGCTGCGGGCCCAGAGGGCGGCGTCCTTCTTCACTGATGGCCAGACGAACCGCCGGGTGACGAGCTCGACTGTTGCGCGCACGCCCGGGTGTGCCAGTTCGTGGACGTGCCGGAAGTACGCCCGTCGGAGCGGCGCCGGAATCCACGGTCGGGGCGCAGCCTGCGACTCGTCGACCACCAAGGTGCGGCCGCTGGGGAGGCGAGCGTCGCGCAGCTGCAGTCCGTGCTCAGTTGAGCGGAAGCGGACCAGCTCCTCGTCCTCCTGCTGACAGGCGGCTAGCGCGTCGAAGTCGTCGACAGGCGGGCTGGGGCTGTTCAGCAGGCAGATGGTGGCTCGGGAGAGCGCGTCCGCTGCGGCGTTGTCGATACCGGGGACGTGTCTGACGTCAGAGGTGAACTGCAGGATGTAGTCGAGCTGCCGCGACTCGCGCGGTGAGTGGCCGTCCGAGGCAGAGCCTATTTTAAGGGAATTTGACTGGGGGGGCAACCTGGAAAATTGTCTTTAATAATCCATTAACCCTCGCCCGTATTGGTGTTTCCAGTAGCGAGCGTATAGGGGGGGGGGAGGGGTCCGTTGGACCCTCCCCCTTGCCGTTTCGCCCCTGATCGAGCTAGAGCTTCGCGGAAAAAACGACCGTGTTGCCCGTGATAAAAGGAAGCCGATTATACCCAATTTTAAGGTCCTAGGTCATCGGTTGACCTTCCAGGTCAGGTCATTGACCCAAAAGTCGGGAAAATCGGGACCTGTTAGAGCGTCGTAAAGAGTGGCTGCTATGGTTTTTCGGGGTGCTGATCACGAATATCATGTTAGTTATGATCATAGATGATGTCTTCATGCATTTAGGCCAGGTCAGGTCAGGTCAGGTCAACCAGTAAGGGTTTTGCCGGGTATTCGTAGTAGGTGGCAACCGCCTCTGACAGCTTCGTAACATGTTACGAAGGCACCAAAACTACTTCGTAAATGGTCAAATGGTTGCTTAATTCGAATTCAGCTCCAAAAACTAGCCTAGAAAGTAGAAACATATAAAACTCGAAAATGTGAACCGAGGTCATCAAAGGTAAATGATCTGACCTGACCTTCCGGTGATCTTGACACCCACCCTAATATGCATGGGAGCTGCATCATATCCCATGTTTGAACGTTTGAAACCACGAAAAGACTGCAAACGCGCGGCTAATGCGAGGCGACATACGCCGAATCGCGACCTCGGCCAAACATGGTGCCATGGTGCTAGGCCGCCGGTGCATCTGAAAG